AACAACACAACAACAACAAAACCCAAACACTTAATGGAAAATTAGTCACAACTCTAGCCGGGGTGCAACCCTAGTCCCTCTCTAATGGAAGTATTTGTCACACAGCCATGTCTCATTTAGACATCTTCCACTGGTTTAAAATCTTTTCAAATTAATTACTAACATACTTACTTTAGAAGAGATGCAACATTAAAGAGGCTTATTTCAGGGTCAGGTTAATGCTTTAGGATCAGTACCGCAATTTTCCTATACTTTCACAAAACTGATCTTTAGAAAACTAACATACAGCACTATTTGGTAATGATCAGGTATTTCCTTTCTTTTTCTATTGGAGATTTCCAGAACAAGTCCCTGCCATGTCTGGAAGAAAAGCACTATTCAAAAGACACCAACTAGGAAGTTGCTCAATACGGAGTGTGGATGAGTGAATGGTACTAACAACTCTGTTGATTGCTCACCTAGCTAATACAAAAATAGCAATTGTAGCCAAGTTTCCTGTATGTCTCCAACCCAGTTTGATCAGGATTGATGGTCTCCTTACATTATCCCAACACCGTAAGGCATCAGTGCTTCAACACCTATTTCTCCTTCAGGGTGGGGAGGCAGTGCTGCTTAGTGGCAATGGGCAATTCACTTCTCTTGAACTCATTTGACAACTTGTTTTTGACCTTGACCAAGTGACTTCACTTATCTGGATCCTTGTATGGTCCCTACCCCTGCAGCATCTGAATGGGTCCTAAGCATTTAACAAGATCATTTTCCTTTCAGAATCTGTGGAAGGAACAGCTTTAAACAACTTTGACGTTGTGTGTACATACACACACCTGTGTGTATGTGGATGTGAGAAAGTGTGCATATGTGTACATCTATCGATGTGCAAACCCATAAACACACAACACAAAGCTAAGGAGAAGAAACTTGGAAGCTTTATCTCTTGCAGAAGTAAGTTGTACGGTCTGCATCCAGCTCCTGCCAGAGCTCCATCTCCTGCACAGATGAGCTTCCCCCCCAACTGGGCGACATCTTCTTGCTCCCCTAGAACAACACCCTGCCCACCGTGAACATGAGGGAAGTGGCAATTTCTCAAGTAAGTAGTCAATCCCAATCCCCAGGAGAGCCCCAAGTATCAGGACAGAGGCGCTGGGCTATATGCTGCCCAGCCTGGAGCCAGGTCACAGCACACCAGGGCAGCAGTTTGGGATGTGTAAGGTGGCAGACTGCTGCCTCTTGCTCCAAGGGACCCCCCCCCAAGACTTACAAATGCATCATGAAATCCTCAGTGCCTCCAGCTACAAAATGGAGAAACCACCTGTTTCTCTTTACCTTTACAAAGTTCTTTGAAACTCATAGGGGGGGAGGGGGAGAAGGGGGAGAAACAACCCTTGGAAAAAAAAACAAAAAAAAAAAACGGCTAAGTGAAGTCACACAAAGAAAAACTACTAGGCAAAGGGCGACAAGGTTCTTTGGGTAAATCCGATATCTTTTATTAGACCAACTCAAATAGTTGGAAAAAATTCTTCTTAGCAATCTTTCGGGTACAAACACCCTTCATCAGGCTGAAGAAGGATCTGGAGTTGGTGTATGCTCTTCCTACATCCCACTAGGCAAACAGCACATTTACCAGCACCCACCAGGGGTCTTTTACCCCATTTCCACCAGCATCCTGGCGAGCTCCAGAAGTGCTGGGATGCTCCAGGACATCATTGGTCCCCTTCCCAGGGCCATGTGAACCCTTTAGCAGGCCTTCAGCAAACCAACTTGTGCACCCCAACTTGGCTGTCACTCAACAATCATAATGTGTAAGACACCCACAACCAGGCCACTTCTTCACTTAGTGGCCTAGGCATGTGCCTGGCTTGCCTGTGCATTAACCCAGCCCCTACCCCTGGCAGCAAGGGCAGGGAGGGGATGGGAGAGGGCTTCTCCCCTGCCCCCCAAGGGGGATGTAGCCCCCAGCTCTGTTGGGACTCACCCAGCTGCTCCTGGCTGAGCCCATTGGGGCCACTGTAGTTATCCACCAGCATGTTGGTCTCTTCCTTGTGCAGGGCAGCATCACCCTCGCCGGGGCAGCGCTGCAGCTTGGCACGGGGCGGTGGTGGGGCAGAGCCGTGCGCATGGCCGTGGCCGTGACTGTGTCCGTGACCATGCTGGTGGAAGAGGCAGAGCCCCA